GACTGTCCTCGGAGTGTGGAGATCTTTTTGAGCAGGACTTTCCGTGCTCCGCTCCACACCTCTTGGCTGCTGGGCTTTGGGGTTTAGAGTTTAGGGATCTATCACCTGATGATCAGAGCCTGGGTTCGACAAAAAGTGATCTATCAGGATCATCAGTTCGTCAGCTCTTTCAGCAGCATATCCGACAGATAAGCTCGTAAGAGAACGAGGATTTTGCGTACTTAGCCTTGCGCATCTCGCCACGAGTGATGTGCTGCCGGGAACCTGGCCGGGCCCCTAAACCCTAAACCCTAAACCCTAAACCAATCAAGCCTGTGTAAAGAGGGTCTGGGGTCTGGGCTCGCTTGGGCTTTACCCATAGGCCCCATAGTAGTTCCCTTCTTGGGGTTCATAATTAGACTCCTCTAAGGTAATCCCCAAAAGGAAGTACTATGGGGCCTATGGGTAGGGCTGTGGGTGTGAGGTTTCAGGGCTTCAGCCTCTCCTTGTGAGGTTTGGGACTTCCATCGAGAGGCGTTGTGTTTCTGAATGCCGAAATGTCCGACGTAGTCCTCTGCAAAGCAATGCCTACAATGGCCACAATGACAATCACTTTGTAAGACACTTATAAGCAAGCATGGCCGTATTGGTTATGATAGTGATGGTTACACGTGTACGAAACCTGGAAGCTTCTGTTGAACCTTTCAAGCCTCGAGGACACGCAGGGGATTGATGCGTAATCCATAATCGGAATATGCAGCAAGCTCTAACCGCCTTAAATTGCACACCCTATACCCCCAAAACCCTACAAGCCCAGGAGCTACACCCTCAAGCCCTGGAACACGCTATCCCCGACAGCCCTGAGCCTTGTGAGTGTTCCGGACCAGAGGCCACTCCACATCGCCTTCGCACGCGCTTTGGCGACCTTCCGCCGCTGGGGCGAGGTGCCTGGCATGCGTAGGCGTAGGATGTGGGTTTATGGCTTATAGGGTTTGGGATAATAAGGGTTTTCTTTTGGGGACTGCGGCGACAGACAACATGGATCGCTGCCGACTTCTGATTACTTGATTCTGAAGCTTTCAGTGCTGACTGGTCGAGACTTGTCGATGCTTTTTCTCGCGAAGCCTTGGCACGATGCGGGCTGGTGGTCGGGGTCTAGTATCAGAAAGCCCCGGCATCAGCGCGATACGTGTTTTGACAAATTTGAACCTGGAAAAAAAACCCTCTGAGCCCTAAACCCTATAAGCCCTAGAAGTCCTAAGCGCCAAAGCTTATAAGCCCTAAACCCCCTAAATCCTAAACCCTAAACCCTAAACCCCCTAAATCCTAAACCCTAAACCCTAAACCCCCTAAATCCTAAACCCTAAACCCGAAACCCCCTAAATCATGTTAGCCCCAGGTGAAGCACGGAGTGGCTGGGAGCTGCGGCTGCCAGGCTTGGGGTTTAGGGGGGTTTAGGGGTTTCGGGGTTTAGGGTTTAGGATTTAGGGGAGGGTTTAGGGTTTAGGGGTTAGGGTTTAGGGGTTTAGGGTTTAGGGGTTTAGGGGTTTTAGGGGAGGGTTTAGGGTTTAGGGTTTAGGGGTTAGGGTTTAGGGGTTTAGGGTTTAGGGGTTTAGGGGTTTTAGGGGAGGGTTTAGGGTTTAGGGGTTAGGGTTTAGGGGTTTAGAAGTTAGGGCTTA